AAGTAAAAGAAGACAAATCACACATAAAACCAAATATACAGCTAAATCCGTTTTTAGCTCCCCGGCAACGGCGCCAAAAATTGATGTCGCCCAAACTCACACCACTAATTGAGACTGTGAGGCGGTCGATGCAATTATAAATACCCAACAACAGTCGAGGTCAATTCCACAGAGAGCTTTATGCGGGATTAGGTATATACTTAGTCTAGTGTATGACGTGCCCAAGATTGCACTTCCACATATTCAATTGTTTCTTTTCTACTTCTAGTTTGTATGCTAATGCTTGTAATTAAAAAGCTAAGAGACAATGTTTTTGGTATTGTTGTTTTTCAGGTTATAAAAGATCTAGGGTTGTAACTTCCACCTAGATGGTTACCTAACGGGTTGAGAGCTTTAGGGCATGTTTGGTTGATCGGCATACAATATAGCAATCACACGCGATTACTCACTCTATACCTCTCGGTAGTTCGAGTAATTTTGCCCAATTTGACTTTCTCAAGTCCAAATGTGTATTTCACAAAACCAGTGATATATGCTCAAGTCGGGTCTTACTATCTCAAGATTCGACCTGTTAATTGGGGCTATCAATTTCTTGAGTTCACCCAATTTCTTGTTAGCCAAGCTTTCCTAGACTTAGTCTCTCTTTCTCAAGTAGAGACTAAGTCAATTAAGCATGAATCAATGTTTGCAACCATCAATTCTCAAATTCAAGCAAGAAGTAGGCTAAATATCATATACCCAATCATAAATAAGCCCTAAATCAATCACCCATTAAGTACCCATACTAGGGTTGGGTCACAACCCTAGCTAAGGGTTTAGCTACTCACGAAAAATGCAGAAATTAAAGAAGAATCTAAGATAAAATTCATTATAGATGATCGAGGGAAGAAAATCTAATGTTAAAATGTTAGACTATTACAAAGTTACCCAATACAGTAAAGAAAAATGGCTATCTATTCTCAGGTGCACCAAACTTAATCTAAAAATGACAAAAAGATCTATTTATACCCAGCTAAAATTATCGGACAAAATTGCCCCTACGGAGGTTGTGCGGCCGCACAATTATGTGTGCAGTCCGCACATTGAGACTTGGCTTGACACGTAGGACTTCTGCGGACGCATAATTTTGGGTTGCGGCCGCACTTCTTCAGCTTATGCGGACCGCACATTTCTGAGTGCGGCAGCACTCTTGATTCTGTGGCTGCACAATAATGGTGTGGTCTGCACTTCTTGACCTTGGGCTTTGGCATGGGGGATTTCTGCGGACCACACATTTTTGAGTGCAATCGCGCTTTTGATTCTGCGGCCGCACAATAATGGTGTGGTCCGCACTTCTTCATGGACCAAAATCACAACTCTCTGAACTTCATCTTCTACGTCCGCACTATAATTGTGCGGTCCGCACTTTGTAAAGGAAAACTGTTGCCTCATGTTCTGCGGCCGCACTCAATATTGTGCGGTTCGCATTTTGCCCTTTTAGCCTTGTTTTGGTCTTTGTCCAAATTTACTCCTTCTTGAGCTGACTTTCATCTCTTTGGCTCATACTCCAACACTCCTGCAAGAAAGCACATTTCATTAGTTTTCGAGAATACCTTTAAGCAATTTTGAGCTAAAACAAAAGTAAAAGAGTGCAAATAAGTAGTCAAAATCCCTACTTATCAACTCCCTCAAACTTAAGTGTTTGCTTGTCCTCAAGCAAATAAGGTAATTCACACCTCCAAGATAAGAACTATTTCAGTTGACCTAAGGTGAATCAATCACATATCAATTGGTACCAACAATTACCCACAACACGTATGAATTATCAACAATGCAATGATTTGACTTTTTGAGTACAATAGTTCTAATGGATACTAGAGCATCAAGAGTTGACTTTATTCATCAAGGAAGCTCGCTCTATCATGTAGGTCATTCTGGATCCCAAACTCCTCCTCTTCTACTCTCTTTTAGCGTAACTCACTTTAGAATGTAAGACTCAATTCGAGGATTATGAAAAGTTCACTCATCTCTCTCAAAAGAATGTCACAAGTACGGCTCTAAGTACCATTTGTTGTGCCGGGATTAGTATGTAAAATGAAATCCCTATAATCATACAATCTTTTAAACTCTTTCTGAACATCTCCAATTAATTCATTCAAAATCTTTGCCCTAGCTCTATGGACAATGGACCTACCAACATACATGCCTAGTTCTTGCTTAATTAGCTTTTTCAACTCCCAAACCCTCATATTAGGCTGGAAAATAATTTCATTCTTGTAATTCTTTGCTAGATATTTTTTCATTTGTGCATCCCCAATGTTAGTACGCATGTAACACACAAAAACTACATAGCTATATACATGTGCCCTAAAACTGATCTTTTGATTGTTTTTTTTGTAAACAAATAATTTTATTCACCAACGAGTAAGAAATAAGTACAACATACATCAACAAGAGTTTGGACATTTTGTCCCAACACTCTTGTGCACTTCTCAGCTACTCATTACCAAAAAACAATTCCTTATGCAAAAACAAATAGAACTAGTATTAAAACATCAGCTACTAGGATATGTTTCCAAATGCTTCATATTCCCTGCTAGTTTCTTCTTCATATGACCCTTACAATACACTTCTTGAGCAATCATTTTAACCATAGTCTCTATTGATCTCACTTTTTGCTGAAACAATCTCAAATTCCTTTCCATTCAAATGAATTACACACATGCAGCCAAACTCATCCTGTAAATATGTGCTTTTGCAGAATTGCCTTTTACATGGTCTATTGCCCAAACAACTTCATCATTCCATTCATATGGTCCTATGTTCACTCCTTGCCGTTGTAGTATCTTCTTCCATATCATAGACGATAATGAACATTTAAACAACAGATGATCTAGTGTTTCTGGAACCTCTGTACACAAAGGACAGGTTAACTCATCGACTACACTCCATTTAGCTATTTTGTCTCTTGTCTGAAGTCTTCCATTTAAAGCCAGGTACAGAATAAAGACCCATCTTGGAGCACCATAGTTGTTACAAGTCAATCTCCTCCAGGGACACTTGGGAAAATCACCTCTAAGCTTCAAGTACATCTGTTGAATAGAAAAACCATCCATTAGAGTAAGATCTGATTCTTTTAACCCCACTGATTTCATATGCTTTGCTGCTTCCAAAATTCTTTGTACCAGCCATGATGCTTGTGTTGGCTGGCTCAACCATAAGTTTCTTTTTCTCCCATAATAGCTATGTATCCACTTTACCCATAGTTTATCTTTTTCCAACAAATATTCCACAGTAGTTTACGGATTGCATCTTTGTTCCAGGCTTGGATATCTAAAATATTTAAGCTACTAGCAGACTTTGGCAGGCACAATCTATCCCAAGCAATCAAGGCTCTTTTGGAAACCTCTACCCCACCAGCCCATAGGAACCTTTTACAAGCACTTTCAATCAGCTGAGTAATCTTTTTTGAAAAAGTGAAGATCTGAGACCAAAATGTCTGTATAGAAAAGAGTACATTTTTTATCAGTTGAGTCCTTCTGGCATATGATAGAAATCTTGCAGCCCAACAGGTTATCCTTCTAATCATTTTTTCCAACAAAGGCTTGCATTGTATAATTGATAGTTTCTTTGTACTGAGTGGTACTCCTAGATATCTTATAGGGAGCTCGCCTTTAGAAAACCCCAACTGATACTTGATATAGGAAGAAAAATTGAAAATCCTCTAAGCATTTTCTTAAGAATAATTTTTATCAACGAAATCCTCTTTCATTTTGTGGTAAAATCTCCACTCTTTTGCAGTCAATTTGTCATCACCCTACGAATAGATCTCTAGAATATATCATCTTTATTTTACGTTTGCAATAAGAATTGCCATCTTTCATCTACCGCCAAATTGCAAAAATTAGTGCTCTTTCTTCACGCCACATCCCATCTGTTTGCTCTTTTGCTATTCGTTTATCTTTCGTCTTCCCCAAAATTTCCAGAATCAAGAACACCCATTATTGTACTTTTATGAAATCCCATTATTCGTCTTTTCTCCCTTGATTTCTCTGGTTTTTTGAAAGAAAAATAGGGTTGATCTTCTTCCTATAAAAATAATTTGCAGATTTGGGATTTCTTGTTCAATTTTAAATTCTTTGAACCAATTTTTGATTGATTGAAGAGTTTTTCTTGAACTGTTTTTCTTGGTAAAACATTTCTGGGTATTTGTTGATTTGGTTCGAAGATCTGATCTTTAATCAAGAATACAACATCTCCACAATTAATTTTCCACTTACCATTTTCACCCCTACAGATTCCTCCCTCCTCACTTGCCCTTCTTGTTCCCTTCCCCTACTTCTTTAAAAATATTCTATTCTTGGTCTCTACGCTTTCCACTTCCTCCATAACCTAGCTTTTTATACAAAGATTGAAATTTTAGCGCTTTCAACCAGCTCGTCGCAATTCATCAACGCCGGCTAGATTTCTGTTAACTTCAAGCGCTGCAATCCAGGTTCTGTTAGCGTAATTGTATCTCCTTGCCTGCCTAATTTGTTCTTGAATCTTTAGTTAGTATTGTCAAATTAATTGTATTAATGATAGCTTTGCCTACTTTTTTATATTGTTATCTACCTGTTTACATCTTTATTATCTTTATTTCATATATCCTCTAGTAGTTCTGCTCTAGTTTTGCACATTTGCTTTTTGACCTTTAGTTGTAGATAATAGTACCCTTTAGCTCTTTTATTGTATTTCTTCACCTATTTCTCTGTTCTTTAGTTGTATTATAGTTTTCTTTAGTTCCTTTTGTTTATTTCTTCACCTGTTTTTCTGACCTTTAGTTGTAGATTATAGTTCCCATTAGTTCCTTTATTTTATTTCTTCACCTGTTTTGCGACCTTTAGTGGTAGATTATATTTCGAAATTCATTTATTCTTGTCGCTTATGTTCGGGATATAGTGGATTTGGTGAACAATGGTAGGGTAAGGTCTTGTCCTCGGGGGTGTTAGCGCGGGGGAGGGGGTGCGGGGGTAAGGGATATGAGGGCTAAGGGAGCTATTAGGCTGAGATTGGGGTCTTGGAACATAGGAACTTTGACTGGAAAATCTATAGAGTTAGCGAATATACTCGAGAAAAGGAAGATTAATATAGCTTGTATACAGGAGACTAGGTGGGTAGGAGAAAAAGTGCGGGATGTGGACATGTTCAAACTATGGTATTTTGGGAGGGAGGGGCAGGAACGGGTAGGTATCTTGATTGATAAGGACCTCCGGGAACTAGTGGTGGAGGTTAGGAGGGTGAATAACAGGCTGATGACTATTAAGCTAGTTGTTGGAGGTTTTATTTTGAACATAATCAGTGCGTACGCACCCAAGAAGGATTGGATGAGGAAGTCAAGAGGCGTTTTTGTGAGGATTTGGATGAGATGGTGGCTGGTATCCTGCATACCAAGAAGCTTTTCATAGAAGGAGATTTCAAGGCCACATTGGAGTGACATCTAGAGGGTATGATCATGTGCATGGTGGCTTTGGTTTTGGAGATAGAAACGGAGGAGGAACGTCTCTACTGGACTTTGCTAGAGCATTTGATTTGGTGATAGCAAACTCGAGTTTCCCGAAGAAGAGGGAGCACTTGGTCTCTTTTCGGAGTTCGGTGACCGAGACTCAGATTGATTATTTGCTCTGCAGGAAGTCCGATAGAGGTCTTTGCATGGATTGTAAAGCCATCCCGAGTGAGTACCTCTCAACCCTTCATAAGCTCCCGGTCATGGACCTTGAGATCACGAGGAATAGGGTGATGTATAGCCAACATAGGATCAAGTGGGGAGCCTTGACGAAAGCTAAAGCGCAGGAGTTGGCGGTCAAGCTGTTGACTATGGGGACTTGGAGAAGTAGTGGGGAGGTAAGCGCTATGTGGACCACGACTGTGCAGTGCATTAGGGAGGCCGCGGGAGAGGTATTAGGGGACTCAAAAGGTTAATCTGGTGGTCACAAGGGAGATTTGTGGTGGAACAGAGAGGTGCAAGGAAAAGTGAAAACCAAGAAAGCAGCGTATCTGAAGCTAGTGGAAAGTGTAGACGAGGAGGAGAAGAGGGCGAATAGGGAGCATCATAAGTTGGCTAAGAAAGAGGCAAAGCTAGCAGTTACGGCGGTCGAGACTGCAACTTTTAGTCATTTGTACGAGGAACTAGATGGCCGAGGTAGGCATAAGAGGTTGTTCAGGTTAGCCATGGGGTAAGAAAGGAAGGCGCGTGACTTGGACCAAGTGAAGTGAATCAAGGACAAAAAAGGTAAAGTTTTGTTGTGTGAGGGGCTTATCCGTCGGAGATGACAGACCTACTTCCATAGTCTCTGGAACGAGGAGGGGTATAAGAGCATTGTATTGGATGATTGGGAACTCTTTGAGAGTCGTTGTGACTTTGGGTATTATAGGCAGATTAGAGTTGATGAAGTTGAGGGGGCTATACGTAAGATAAGCATGGGCAAAGCGATCGGGCCAGATAAAATCCCGGAGGAGTTTTGGAAGAGTGTGGGTAAGGCAGGCTTGGAGTGGCTCACTAGGTTATTTAATGTCATTTTTAGAATGAAAAAGATGCCTGAAGAGTGGAGGTGGATTACGATGGTTCTTGTATACAAGAACAAGGGTGATATCCAAAATTGTAATAACTATCAGGGTATCAAGTTGCTTAGCCATACTATGAAAGTATGGGAGAGAGTGGTAGAGCTAAGGGTGAGGAGGATTATATCTATTTTCGAGAACCAGTTCGGGTTTATACCGGGCGTTCGACTACAGAATCCATCCACCTTGTTAGGAGATTGATGGAGCAATATAGAGAGAGAAAGAAGGACTTGCATATGGTGTTCATCGACTTAGAAAAGGCGTACGACAAAGTTCCGAGGGAGGTTTTGTGGAGATGTTTGGAGGCTAGAGGTGTACATATTGCCTATATTAGGTTGATTAAGGACATGTATGATGGAGAAAAGACCCAAGTGAGAATAGTGGGTGGGGACTCGGACCATTTTCCGGTTATGATAGGGCTGCATCAGAGGTCTGTCGCGCCCCTTTTTTTCCTTCTCGCGGAGAAAGTCCCGGGCTTCGACGTTCATGGGGGGTAATAACTCATTTCCTTTTGGAATTTGGGTATTTGNCTGTATGCATAAGTCTTCATAGTTCAACCCTTCTATTCCTTTGCCGCCTTCGACACCCTGAACCTGGCTTGTCAATTTCTTGAGTTCTTCAGCCATGTTTTTAATGATTTGGTCTTTCTCTGAGGATTCTGGTGGATAGGAAGTGGGCTGAGTAGAGTGAGGTATGGTCTCCACATTTATGGGGTTGTTCTGATGAGTGCCGGGGACTTGGGTATAATGATGGTCATTGGTGGAGTTTTGGGGATCGGGAATGGGTTGTGGTGTGTTTTGGGGAGTGTGGTAAGTGGTGGTTGGTGGGTACTGAATTGGTTGATGGTGATGTTGTGGCGGAGTTAGTATTGGTAATGGATTGAGATTTTGGGGTGGGGTTGTGTATTGCTGTGGTGCAGGAGGGTTTTGCGGATGTTGGCTTGGTGTGTTTTGGGGAGGTACCAGGTTCTTTATGTTTTGCTGATTGACGTCGGGGACATTCAGGGTGAGTGATAAATTTACCAAGTTGCGAACCTGATCTAGCTCTCCTTGTAGCTCTAGTATCTTTTGTTCCAATCTCAGAACTAGATCATTTGGTGCCGGCAAACTCCGACCGTCTGAAGTTTCTGCGTTCTCAACATTCTCCTTTCGAATACCACTTAAATCATCCATTTTTGTTTTTCCTTTTCCTTTTGTATTGCTTGGAGGAGGAGGAGGTGGAGGGCCTCTAGATCTAGTATGACACGCTGACGATGCCAGTATGAGTGAACCAACCTAAGGGGATGGGAATAATCAAAAATAAGGAAAAGCAAAAAGGTAACAAGTTAGTAAGGATTTTTAAGTGTTGCAGTATTTAAACACATATTGCGGCAATGTAAATTTGCGTCCTAATTTTGGGAGCCTCGTTGTGCCCGAGGTAGGCCTAGCGACAAATAGATTTGGAGAACTTTAGATGCCAACAAATGCCTCATTTCATAATATAAAAATAGACGAATCCCAAAATGACACTTAAGATGATAGAAAAAGTTGTCACTACTGGCATTTGGCCTTATTACATTTTAGGAAAGCAAGTAAATCTAGCCTATTTGGTCCCAAAAGGACCTTCCCCAGATTCAATCTTCCTGACTCCATCGTACAGGTTTCCCAGCTCGCGCAGTCCCAGCAGCAGGTAGGCTATAGCCAAATGTCCTCCTTCAGCTCCTTCAGCGTTCTGGAAATCTTCAATCCTCTTTATGACTTTACCTTCCAGCTCCACTATTCCTCGCTCCAGATATTCCTACTTCCTGTTGGAAGTGACTGCCATTTCTTTCCATTCCTCGATCAACCTCACATTCCTCTCATGTATTTCCTGGTGCTCATTCTCAGAGTCGTGGACCCTCCTGCGCAGCCTGTTGTACTTGACTTGAGCTTCAGCTTCTTCATCTATGATTCTATTCCCTCGTCTGGCCCCTGGCATCACCATTCCTTTCAGATTGTCCTCTAACCATGCCGGGTAAAGAGATTTGCACCCTGCATGATACCTGTCTGGCTCGATGGTGTTCTTTTCCATAATGATTTTGCAGTGCCACATGTGCTGAGCTTGGCACTTGTAAGGGACGTCGTCATCTTGAAAGTCTGCTCTGAAATGACTCATCTTGGAAACCCTTGGCACAACCTGTTTCCTGCTTGCTTGCCTCATAACTCAGATAGGAACATAAGGGTATATCCCTCTCAACCCAATTAGCACCAGGTGTGGAGCGTCTCTTGACCTGATGATGAATTCATCTGTCGGGAACCATTCAAACATCCATTGCACTTGCTCCTCAGTCAGATTGTCGAAGAATTCCACCCACTCCTTGTCATTTTACGGCTGAGCAAACCTACCGGAATGTACGTCATCCGCTTAGGGTGATGGAAGGCAATATGGTCATTCCAAGCCCTTCACGGAAATTCTTGGCGATACTGGCCCCTTTGAAGATGTTCCAGCAACCACAACTACAGCAACAAGTTACAACCGTCGAAATGCTGGACCCCTCTTTGACAGCGCTTCAAAGCCCTGTAGATGTCGGCTATGATCATCGGGACTATGGTGTATGTCTGTCCATTGATCCCCTCCATCAAAGTCTTGGCGACCATGGCCAACCTAGTGTGGATTCTTTCCTATTTCATTGGGAACACTATCAGGCCCGGGAAGCTTACAATGAACACGAACACTCTACGGTGGATATGGCCCAGAGAAGTGAGAGAGATCTCGTCATGGTAAGTACGGAAGGACTTGTTATGGCCGTACCTCTCATACAAATACTTGAAGGGTATGTAAGATTCCTTCAGGCATCTCAAGTCAGCATTTTTCTTCAACCCTATCATCTTTAAGAACCCTTTGCCAGTGCGGTTTTTCCGGTACCAATAACCCAGTGCTATCCCAAGTCAAACCCGTAAGCCCTCCAATTTCCTCTAGAAGTGGTGTCATTTCTATGCCGCCAAAATGAAACACCGCCCTTTCGCTATCCCAGAATAAAGTGCCAGCCTCGATCAACCTCTTGTTTGGCTCAATGTCTAGCAGGGAAGGCAAGTTACCCAGGTACTTTCTTACATGTTTTTTGTCACTTGAGGAAAGGTCCTCCCACCAATCTAACAGCAATGGCAGGATGTTGCTAACCATACCGAATCTGGGGACCTCGTGCCTCATTTTCTACAAAACAAAAGGGTTAGGCCTTTCTCCCCCACCAGACTTGACTATTTATATATTCATGATCAGCATATCGGCATTTTAGTTCTCCAAATTAATGCACAGAACGTGGTTGTGTCCGTTGGGATTATGGAAACCCCGGTGGACTTCGGATAAGGCTCATCTTAAAAGATCATTATGTGGACAACATAATTGATCCGACTAGGTTTGACCATGATGCATGCATAATTTGACCAGAGTGAGGTTACTATGGGGTTTTAGACTGGTACCCTCAAGCGGATAACTTGAGGGGGAAAGGCACGGAACCGTCGACTGCACCGCTGATCGACTAGTTTTACCGCAAATAAACCTTTCCGAATTTAAGGGTAATAAATAGGAAGAGCACAACCACTCATCAAGCGTTGCTATAGGATTTGATACGCACGAGTGGAATATCATGTGGAGCATGATTTATGCAGCAGTTAATAACATGTAGTCAAGTATTTGCACGTAGAAAAATAAATGCGGTATTTAAATAATTGAAAGACAGTTACGGAAAAGAAAACAAGGAGACAAGTCAATTTTAGGAATAAGGAATCATAAATGCTTAAAAGAAAATAGACGGTTAAGTTCAAATAAGAGGAAAGGGTATGGGATAAAGCATGCTTGGACCAATTCATAAAAACAAGTTCGTTATGGTAAGAGCCTAAAGGTATCCCCAGCAGAGTCGCCATGCTGTCGCGCCCCATTTTTTCCTCCTCGCGGAGAAAGTCCCGGGCTTCGACGTTCATGGGGGTAATAACTCATTTCCTTTTGGGATTTGGGTATTTGAAGAGTCGCCACCTAACGGATTATGGTGCGTTGGGACACCTAGAGCGATTAACTCTTAGACTAGTTTGCATTACCAGAGATTTAGGGTAAGGGCTCGAAATAACCTTGAGGGGAAGGTGTTAGGCACCCTTCTCGGTTCACAACGGTGGGTCTCAGCCGAACTCATACTTACGAATTAGTCATTTAATAAATAAGTAGTTGAAACACATAATTGCAAATAAAGCATGTTGGACATTATATGACTCAAATAATAAGATAAAGAATTTGAACAAGTTGTGTACATATAAAAAAAAGTAAAGTTTTAGAAAAAGGAAATTTGGGAAGGAAGGGTCCTAGATTGGTTAGCCTACAAGATCACCCCACGCAATGCCCGGTAAATACTCCTCAATGAGGGGCTACACGTGACATTAACGCGTAGTCACCATATCCCATTCTACCCAAGTCCCTCCCCTTGGTCATAGCCTAAAGCGTTCTAGTAACCTTGACAATGTCTATGCGTGCACTACCCATCCCTTCCTCGTGGCCCTGGAGGTATTTTAGGACCTCTATTCTTTGGACAGTTCTAGACTTTCCTAGGGTTGATAAAAATCTAGGCGACAATAAAGAACAGTTAGGACTGCATTTAAAGAAACAAGTTATAGGCTCACAGTTACCTCCTCAAACATAACAAATAAGTGCACGTCTTCAAACAACATTCAAATACTTAAGAGAAAATTCCCAGAACATGATATCTAGGTGAGCAAGCGTTATACAGTGTTGAATTAGGACAATATGTGAAAGATCCTATTTAACATGCCTACTGATTAAACCTGTTAAATCTGGACAGCTTTAAGTAGTAAAAAGTTCAGTTTCAGAGTTGTAGAATTTAAAATCGCCCTATAGGCTTGCCTAAACGCAGAACAGTGACGTATTAAGAGCATGATAACTACGCTGATGCAGTAGAACAGTGAACAGTTTTTTAAACAGATTCTTGAGTTCCTATGGGCATGCTGTCTAGTGATAATAAATTAAGGCAGTGTTTAGAAAAAAAAAGAAATTCATTTAAAGAAACGGATAATTGATTAGGCCAGTTTCAAAGCGAACTATCATGAATTATACCGACTTGTTTAAGCTAAGTTGATTTAAGTTTTATAAGCGGAATTTCTGATTTTTAATTCCTATAAGCATGGTATCTAATTGTTAAGAGCTGATGTCAGTGAGACAAATGTAAATACATGCAGTAG